AGACCTATTTAGTCTCTTATGATTAACTCCGCCAATGTCCTGGTGATTTGAGCATTTCTCTTATCTGTTTCCATAATTTAACCTCTTTTCCTACAATGTGGTTTGGTACGGCTTCAGGATGAATCAAAGCCCCATGCTTTCGTAAATTTTGATAAAAATTAAACGTATTACTTTTCATTTGTCAGCACTACCAGATTAGTCGGTGTTTTGAGCGGCTCTTTTGCTTCTACTTCGATAGACAGTGACGTAGAGATTGATGTTAATGAACCCGCATCCATTTCCTCTGCCATTGTAAATAACAACTCCAGCGATAGTAATACTGACAATGATGACGATGATACTGAAATGGAAGACTATCCAAAAGGTGTGTAAGTAAGATGGAGGCATAAATTTCGATTGTTTGTAAATGCTTTTATCACCGTGGTTGTTTGTCATGCTTTTTCTTGGCTATGTATAACAAAATATCTGTTAAAATGGTTGGTTTTATTAAATGAAAAAAATTGTTTCATAATATTTTTACCTTAACTTCTGGAAGACGTTCACTTTGGTAGGCTTAAATGCAGTTCAATGCCATTGATCTCTAAGTATATCACTAATTTGATGTCACAAATTTGAATGTTACTCTTTCCTCTCTTTGAATTGGTGTGATACGGCGCAGAGTAGCCATTGCGCAAACAAATGTTGAAAACTTTAAACCTCACTATAAGACAATCGAAATTTTACCCGCATTTTCTTGAAATCGAGTCTATGATGGTGATGTACGCATTTGAATACCAAGCAGTGTCCTCCACCTTATTCTCCTGCGATTCGCGCAACTTCCTTGGAAACTCGAGGGTCTAACAAGTATGAATAAGCCGCAAAGAAAGCACAGTAGTTTAGTGGTTCCTTGCCTGCGCGATTCTTAGGAGACTGAAAATATTGCGGACTTTATAATTTTGTTCAAGCATCTTCAGTTTTTAAACAAATGTGAGTTTAAATTGGCTATGTGATGGACGCTTGTGGCATAGGTTGCTGTATGTCCAAGGCCTCATTCTTCTTTAATGGGTGTCGGGACTTCTTGTAACCGTCGGTGTACTATTATCCGTAAACACTATGTCCGCTTTTTTGGAGTAAATATGCTTAACATTGCTATTTATATGACAATTGAGTTATTTTTCTAAGATCGTTGATACGCATGTCGGCGTACAAATGGGAGGAGGCCTAGTTACAGCAGATCATCTGTGCTGATTTTTGGCAAAACAGTATCACTTCCAATTGGATCGGTTAAGCGGTTGATCAGCAGGCCGGTCGTAAGCAGTCAAAATGATTTGAACCTGTAATATAATGCTGAGGCTGCATGCAACTTCAGAAAAGAATTCGTGTTTAATGTTCTCGCAGTTCTCACCTACGTGGCCACTCTCATCAAAGTAGGAGAAGCTATCTGATGCTCTGTCACCCCTTCCTGATTGTCTGGTTTTGCATTAGCAGCACTCGAATTTTGCCAATAGTCACTCTAATCGCACGATGAATCAATTACTGTCAAGTATGCGTAACTCTGTCGACCACGTGATGGAGGTGCATTGGCGCACAAAGAGGATCGTACCCGAATACAAAAGAATTGGTTTTTACATATCGAACTTCTAGCCATTACTAGGATGGCAGTCTTGGCAAATACATGCACCGAGTGGGATGTTTGATGGATGCATTTAAACCACCACCAGATAAAACACACAAGCACCATCCGAATAGACAGTCAGCAGTTTCAGGCTGCACTACTCTAGTGCATTCGTAGAGCCCAAGTCAGCAACAGACGAAGCAAATAAAAGAAGTCGAGGCGTAATGGAGATTACTGTGCAAGTACAGAGGTCATCAGGTGACCAATCGGGAAAGCCAATGTGAAGTAATGCTCTATGGACTACCCCTTAGCAGCAGATACACTAGTCATAAGAGCTGTCTGAGCAGAATTGTTAAATCTTCACATTAAGTCGTGCTTAACCGCTTCAAAAGCACTTTCCCGAGGACGCTCACAACCCCAAAATTGACGTCTGTTTTCATCCATGAGGCGTATCCATCATCGTGACGAATAGCCTAACAGTCTAAAACTTAGCAGTGTAGCTCAGTCCCATAAGAAAGTAGTAGAAACTACACTGTGTCTCTGCGACACTGCCCCTTCGGACAGTCTGTTATTGCATATGCAGACTACCTATCTCACACCGTCAACCATCAGTTTACCTCTACACGCACTCGCATTCACAGGTCCTACCCGGCTGTCTTGCCGTTGACATTTAGTAATGCTCTACCCAACTTTGGTACTGGTGTCGCCGACCTACGTGACATTGATTACAAGTCTACCACCTATGTACCGTATCCAATCAGGACCTAAGAATTGCATTGATTGCTAACCTATGATGCCAAAAATTATTCTATATGCATGCGAGTGCATATGAAGGTAGCGTATACAAACTAAATTACTTTTGAAGCATCAGAATATTTTGGGAATATGCATTGCCTTGCTTATGGACAGGCATGTTAACTCGTGCGAACAAACACTACAGAAGTCACGGAAGGATGCGGCTGCCATCAACATCTTATCACGGTGTCTACCCATATATCGAACTGTTCTGAATGATTTGTACAAAGTGGCCAGTCATTGGTGAAAGTGTCACTACTACTCGCACTTTCTGCGAAGTAAGTCAGTAGTGCTGACCCCTCCATTTGCTTCAATGGACAGTGCAATACTAAAATTTTTAACGCCCATATTCCCATCGAAACGGTATTTGCACTAACATTTTCTATGCCTATATTGTTGGCTTTAATCCATTACATAACTCTGGTCAAGTTAGGCAGTCCCTCTAACCAAAATCATGTTCTCTTAAAACTACTACTCACGACAGGTAGGTAGTGCTTGGGCGACATGAAATCATGTTACACATGGGGTTAGTAAAGCAGTGCAGACATGTTGTGAACTAGCAAAGAATTTGTATAAATCACTGCAATGCCAGCTTTACTAAGCTCTTGGTCAAGTGATTGCAGACAAATCAACTGAGATGGGTTTTGCTCGGCATCGTCGTCAGTCAGCCAGTCAGTCACTGAAAGGGAAAGTAAGCATCTGGCATATACGGAGCCCACCCTGAGTTAAGCCTGTTTCAATAAATACTCTTACTTGCACACGATTGGTCAAAACGGTTCCTAAAATGGTTTTTTGGATGCTGGAAAGAAAAAGCCTTTTTGAGAATATCAATTTTATCACAGAAAATATCATCCATTAGGTTTTCGCATTCAGTTGATGCACTGCGGAAGTGCTGAAATTAGGGCAAAGAAGTCATGATGGGTGCACACATTAACCTGTAACTTGATGGAAAAATGCGTGGAATGGTGAGTTGAAGGATGCGGATTTGATGGACTGATGTACATGCATGCAATATATGGCCGTATTAAAAAATGGATCCGGTAGTAAAGAATAAATAAAGGATGGATTGATGGGTGGGTAGATGAATGGGCATGCTGGTAAACACAGCAGCATATAAAATTCGGTGATCACATGCCCCGATGATACGGAAGCAATGGGTATTTCATAGGCTAGAAATGGGCAGACTGTGGATGCATATCTAAATGCCTTTCTTAACGACAGGCATCATACTGCAAAATAAAAGAAATTCAGCAAGACTGAGGAGTGTTTGATTCTCCTGAGTCATTCCTACAACAACCGTTTTACGTTATTTCAGTATTAAGTCGCTTCAACATAAAGTTCAACCTTTCCCCCTATCGAAAGACATTTACAGACCAGGCAGGCACTCGGAAACTTGCGTATAAGATTTGGAGCTTCAAGGGAGCAGTAGTGGCATGTGTTCCCAGGCCAGACATATAGCAGTGAACGTAATTCCAGCTAGTCAACCTCATTTCAAATCACTGACATAAAGTCATTTAGCTCCGATTCATTTGGTTGTAGACGGATAGAGTGAGGAAAAATCAGAAGAATGCTTCCTGACTTACCAAGGAATGTGTACACAAACCTCAGCAGTGTGCATGAGTACCACATAAAGCGGAAGAGGCTTTAGAGTCAAGTTAATACTTCCGATTATATGCTGCAGGTATGCTAGTGAGGATATTTCATTGGTCTCAATTCTAGACTCATCTGGTCACGATGATAGCCGACAGTATTAGCTGGTGTGACTGTATGTGCCTGAGTGTCTGTGAATCAGTGTGTGAGTGGCAGTGTACGATGAGGAGCGAAGTCGGCAACCTACGAATAGCCACTTGCACGAGGTACCTTTGAGCGTGGTAGGGTATGGCGATGCAAACTTTTGTACGACTGGTCCATTAATAATTTGAGGTATCATTGTCAACTGTCCTGGTGTAGTTCAATCTTGCTGCCAAATGCTTCTCTGTTGATGTTTCACTGAAGGTATTGCACAAATACTTGGATAAGTTCACAGTTTTCCTGTCATATATACTCTTAACTACCCAAACGTCTCCCACAGCATGAGGTTCGCTTTATTCTCGGGGGGTTAGTGGCGCCCCCATGGTCACGGGGCTTATGTACTTCATACATCATTTTTATTTATTTTTAGAAAAAAATAGTGGTAAGCATTGTATTCTAGTGCGATATTTTGACTCTCAATGGAATTACAAAGTAGCCTTAAAATGATTTACTGATTGTGCGTCACCCACCTGATCAATTTAACAGCATCCTTTTAACTCCCCAGCATTCAGTATTTTAAAATCCTGTAAAAATTTGGACTCTTACCTTTTTTCTGCCAAATTTTGTTGCACTTTTTTAGCTCTTCTTGTTAGTCAGGTAACAAGCTAGGCCTTCTTGTCGCTAGGAGTTGTCAAAAAGCAACATTTATTCCATTTCACCGTACTTTGGATGTCAAAGCTTCGTTTCTAACGTACAAATTAATGAAGACTAGCCGGCGTCAACTATTTTGAAGCAGTATTACATTCTACTTAGGATTTATAGGCATTGCCTTGCCTCTTTTGATACAAGAACTCGCCTATTTCCCGAGATAGGTGTAAGTACTGGTTGTTCAAATGCGCCTTTTAGGCGAGGAGCGGTCAATATATATTACTTAGATTTTTTAACTACGGGCTGCGCTTATTTTACCTCTGCTGGGCACCCTGGCCTGCCGGCCATGCTAGCAGCCTCCAAGCGGTTCCATAGGTCTTCTTTTGACCTCGGGGAATTCTTGGCTTACTGCAAGTTTATACCAATCTTATGGTCGGGGGGACACACCATTGGTTCTCGAGGCGAAGAAGCACCTCAAGTGCCTATAACCGCGATTCCTGCACCCCTTCCATAGCAACTGTCTAATTAATGATGTCCTTTTTCACCTAGCTTGCTCATGTACAGGGCGCAAAGCCAGTGGTGGAAAACACTGAGACCGATACCCAATTCAAATATGTGACTGGTTGCCAAAATTGTGGCTTCAAATATAAAATATTTTGTATTTAGTCATGCCGATTGAACATTCTTAAGAACAAGAAGGAGAGTGAACTAGACTGAAATAAGTAAGTGCCTTTTGAGACAACATTAGCTGCCATTGGAACTCATGACATGTCAGGTCCAGACCAACACTTTCGATCCCGGTCGCTTTAGTGGTGGGTTCCAACTCCAAGCCTAACAAATAGCAATGCTGACAGTTTAAAAGTTTTCCCCTTTAATCATTTGTTTGTCAATTTTAAAGACGAGTTTGAAATGAAATTTGCAAATTTATAAGCACTTGTGATGGTTGATTGGTCATATCTATGTGACACCTGAGGTAAGCCTAAAAACATTGTCAACACCTAAATAGCAATGTATTGCTCTGCTTAATCCTTGGTTTTGGGTGGCGGGTCACTTAGGGCTCCTCCAGGCGGTTCTGTTGATCGACAATGCATACGCTGTCAGAGTACTATTTCTTCTTCCTTAGATTTTATGTCATATTTTGAATTAAAAACATCCGGATATCATGTCCAACACAGTCCAAAACACCTTGCAATGTTTCAAAACAGTCAAGTAGTCCTGTCAAGCCATATAATTCATCCTAGTGCTCATTAAAGAGGACAGATAATCAAGAGCTCACGATGCCGATGGCGACGCTACAAATACTGCAGAGCGAAGTCCATGTTTGATAATTTTAGCATCATGACTTTTGGCATTCCATTTGTGTCCTAATATTAGCTTAACCCAGTTTAGTAAATAAAAGGTGAAAAAGTTCACTCCTTAGCGACTAAAATACACAACCACATTCAGTTTGATGTAGCTAGCACTAGGCGTCGTGACATTTTTACACCACTAGAATTTTGGCAGATTTATTAATGGAATAAATAGGGTCCACTTCTTTGGCAGTAACTGCGCATGTTATTTGACTAAACTATAGGGAGCGCCAGCTCTTTGGCCTGAAAGCTCTACTTATCATCAAATGCATGGCCGAAGACCACGCCTATGCTTTTCCATTCCTCC